CGGAGCCGCCTTCCGACAGCCGAGGTTCCTCGCTTTGCGCCCCCTCCGGCCCCATAGCCCCGGCCCGTTTGAGCCTCTGGGGTCTCCGAGTCGATCGCTAATTTTCGGATCCTTTCTCTCCCTCCCTCTCTCTCTCTCTCTCTCTCCCTCCCCTCCGGCCCTGGATAGTTTTCGGCCCTTGCGTTAGCCTTCTCGCCAGTTCTAGACGGGCTTTCCCTTTGGAAGGTTTTCATTCTTTAGCCAGTTGCTCTAAAAACTGGGGCCTGTCTCTGTCCCGCTGCCTGGTCCCAGTGGATCAGTTTGTCGTGCTGGGAGAAATCTGTCACCCCAGGAGTAAAGGAACGCGTATGGCCTTTATGTGTGTGTCTCCACAGAAAAATCAAGAAAACTGGTATCGCACGAACAGGGCATTAAACCCCCTGTGCCTGCAGCTGGGCACGCTCGAAACGTGTGATGGTGAGTCATTGTAGCCTTGCATGGCCAGGCAAACGAGGGTTGGGGATTTCCAGGCTTCCGGTCTACTTAATATTTATGAGACCTTGGTGGTTTGAGCAAGCGGCTCACCCCCCCTTTGCCCCCTATCCAGGTTGGCCCCACCACGCTCCTTCTTCATGCATAAACACACCACAGAAAGGCAGAAGTGCCCTGGTTGCCCTCTCGATGTCAAAGTTGCTCAACAGCTCTAGTTTTTTGAAAGGTACGGCCCTCTACCGCTGCATGTTGGGCAACAGCCGCCTTGAGTCTCACACTCTAGGTACAACCCAGATCCAATGGTCCCTCACAGTTGTGCCTCGACCTCACAGTTGTGTTGCTCAAGTTTGGTTTGGGCAGCATTGTTTGCTTGCTTGTCCTGCACACCCTTGGCAATACCAGTGGCACCACCAGCCAGGGCACACACAGCCCACCGAGGATCAGTAGTAGTAACAGAAGAATGCAGCCCATCTTGGTCATCCGCTTCAGCTGGATCTTACTGAACTTCAGTTTTGTTCCAGCACTCTTGCCATTATTTTTCATGATGTGGGCAGTCTACCTCTGCATTAGCCCAAGCTTGTCAATTCCATGGAGTTGGTCATCGCTTGTGACTTTGGCCAGCACCTCTTTTTGCCCATCGCTTAGCGTTACAACAAAGACAATGTATTCTGTCTATTTCATTTTGCTGCTCGTTCCAACTCCTGGATTGATTTCAGTATCTCATAATGAACCAAAAATGGGGCAGGGCGGTCAAACTTGCTCCAGTCAGTTAGTACTCAGCTGAATGCTCCCATAAGATTCAGAGTACATTAGTTTGCCACTGATCAGGAGGTCATACGTAGTTGCATTAGCCAGCACAGTAGCGTCAAAGTCTGTCTTGTCAGTACTCATCATCAAACGTTTGGATTGCCTTTGCCCATCCAGAAGAAAGATTGGGTAGAAGTCCACACAATCCAGTGGCATGATTTACTTCAAAGACTCACAAGAGATGATCCCATAGTACTACTCCTTGAAGTTGCGCATAGCCTTGTAGGCACAGCTGGTTTTGAGCTGGGTGAAGTTGACATCCATGTCAACAATTGGGTAGCAAACGCTGTTGAGCAATGCATAAATGTTGTATAGCCACACGTGGTTAAACAGTGCAGGAGTATGCTGCTGGTTAGTGGCCTTTCTGGTCTGGAAACTAATGAGGATCCAGCGAGGCTTTTCTGTGCTGATTTTCACACCCAAATACCATGAGAGAGGGGTGGCTTGTGGTATGGCATAGGTGTCGCACTGCGTGGCACAGAATGCCACTGGCACCTTCGCCTTGCTTTCATTCTGCTTCATGAGAAGGCTCTTGTTCTCAAGGGGTGGTATAACATGAGGCATGAACCAAGGCAGCTTAGTGAACATAATCTTTGTCACATCGGTGCCCTGAAAGAGGATCTGCATCACCCTTTCAGCCTAGCAGGAGGGACTGCTTGTTCCTGTCTACAACTTCTGTGCAGTCTTTGCAGAAGCTGAAAAGGTGTCTCAACAGCACTGTGAAAGACAGCGTGCCAACAGGGTTCAGTCTGGCGATGATCAGCTGTCTTCAGGCTTTGAAGCAGAGGTTTGCAGCCATGGCCACAGTTGTATCTTTTTGCTGGGACGTGTTGAAACCTTCAGCCTTCAAGAAATCATTGCCATAGGTCAACATTCCTTTCATCATTGTGGCCTGCCCGGGATTCATAATATTTTTGATCTCAGTGTTGTTCACAAGATACCAGATCTGACTGAACATGTGAAGGGGATGAGTTTGTTTATGAGCGCCACCAGCATTGCTACTGTATACGCTTCATCACTGGTTGATGTAAGTGTGTCCTCAACAAGTAGGTAGACAGCTCATGAAGACATCTTGGTTTTGTATGTCCATCTGGATTGTCTTGCCACTGTTGGTGGCAGCAGGGTTCTGGGGTTCATACTTTCAAAATTCGTAGCTTTCAGTGCTCTTGTTGACTAGCACCACCTCAACAATTTCCAATGTCACTCCCTACACTAACCTTCACAATAGGTTACAATGTGATATCACCAAAAAAAAGACCCTTCTTTAATTGCTAGGTGGACCACTACACGATTGTGCCCAGGACGGGAATATTATTAAACAGATGGTTCGGGCCGAGCAACAACCCTTGTCTCCCTTGCTGGAACACAGTGTTTTAAATTCAGCTCCATGATGTGACAATTTATATCGGGCATCATCGATCCAGCAGTAGAGCGGCTTTTCTGGCTGAGCTCAGCCACTCCAGCTGTTTTAAGTACTTGAGAGACTTCTCTGACCTAACCTTTTTTTTGGCTCTGGAAGTGCCTGTACAACAGCCATCACAACATACTTTGCTTTTACTACATGAATGATTTGTTTCATCACAGACACTGTTGTGGCACCAGCCTTTGCAACATGTCATGTTCTTTATGGTGTCCTTATTGGCACTGATAAAGTTTCCTGCAGTGCCGACAGCTTGTGTGATACTGCTAAGACTGAGTATCTGGTTAAACTGTCTCTGACAACGAATCTTTGCTGCCTTTTGGCAAGCTGGCAGATGTTGCCCACAAAGACAAACAAAGAGGCAAACTGTCTCGCCATGGAGGCTTAATTGCACAGCATCTTGGTTGGTCAGCTACATGCGCATTCTCTGGACGTTACCAGCGGGAGTGATTGGTAGATAAACAAGATTGTTTGCATCCTCCATGATTTTGTAGCCTCAACTGAGAGGTCATCTGATGATACTCAAATATACATCTCTACCCAAAGTTGAGCAAGTGATACTGTTCAGATGCTGGCTCAGTGCCTGGAGGCTGTACAGGGAGAAACTGGCTGTGACTCAATCCTAGCAAGATGGAATGGTGGTTTCATTCATTTTTCACGTGTATATTATTTAATTATATACTTGCTTTTCAAATCTTAACAGCAAAAATAATATTCCAAATCTCTCTGGTCTCCCAATCCATTTAAAACTTTCTTAAATCAAAATCACATTTCCAAATGTGATTAGAAAGTGAGTTTGGCTGGCTTAGTGTCCTTATTAAAGACTCTGCCACTGCTGAGAGCAAAGATGTTGTCTCCCTCGGCTCCTGGTGCTCAAACCCACAGGAGACCACTGTTTTATGGTCTCACAAGGAGCTGCCATTCAGAGCACTTGTGGGCAATCTCCCAATTCTCTTCTCTGGAGAGATTCGAAAGAGTGGTCTACTCACCAGTGTTTAGTTCTTCACAGCAGTGATCATCTCCACTCATTCGTGGAGACCTCTTCAGTCTGCTATGACTCATACCGGAAGCCACGAGCTTATGGTCTTCCAACAACAGGCAAATTTGCTCCCTATAGGCAGCGAGCCCCTGGATTTCAGTAGTGAGTGTGGCTGCCTTTGCATCATCCCCTTCCCTTCTGGCCTGCTCCAAGTATTCTGATTATAATTCAAAACAGCGTCAACTGTCATTTTTAATAGGGTTGGATGTGATAGGTTTTGTTCGCTAAGTGGCGTAAAGCTGTGTTGCTTCATGAGCTCTACGTCGAGGCCCTGGCCTGGATCCACTACCAGCATTGGCTGATCTTGACAAAATGTAGTGGAGCCCAAAGGCGCAGGAAGCGCTGATTTCACAGCCCCCGCTTTACAAAACAGGGCCACAATTGGGTTGAAGTTCACCTCAGCTGCAATCTGTGCTGAAGGGCACTCCTGGGCATCAGTCGCTTTCCATGTCTGCAGCTCTGTAGCAGCGAGCTGCTGGTAATCAGGCTGAACAGCTTAGCTTCCTTGGTTTGTAAAGTCACAAAGATGGTCCCTGCGCACCAGGTACCCCTGGGTCAGTGCATCATGCTCCTCTTTGCTCTTTAGTTTTGTCCACATTATGTTGGCTACTTGTGCTTTAATTAAATTTATGCTTTTACGGTACAAAAGCAATCAAAGCCACAGAAGTACTTGCCATCACATGCTTGACTTGTAAAGTCAGTTATCACAAAGTTTGTCCTGAAGAACGCATAAACTCGAAAATGGCATATCGCCTCCAGTGAATGTGTTGTGGCTTGTTCGCAAGTTCTTGCTGTCCAGGATGAACAGGACAAGCAGATTCGCATTATTGCAAATCGCCTGCTTGGGAATATGGAAGTAGTTCTAGATAAGGTAGAAACAATCCGCACCTGCGTGGCACCCCAAAAGAAGTATTTTTTGATGGGTCCCTGTTTCTCAAGCATGACGTTGAACACCATGATGCTCCACTCTTTTGGGTTCAAACTCTCCACTGGAATGGTATCTTCAGAAGAACTGTGAAACATAGCTACTTCTTTTCTGGGATTGGCCTCAGCCCAGTCATGGAGAAACTGGTACTTCTTTTGACCAAGGGATTTCGAATAGAGGTGGTCAAACTTAAGATAGCTCTTCTTGATAAATAGGTTCAGCAAAAGATTTGTTTTCCCATACCCCGATAGGTGTCAGATAACACAGTGAATGCAGATACCTGGTTTGAACTCCCACCTGAAGATCTCGGTGAACTCAGTCCTGACATCCTTTGGGAGCTCCCCATTGATGGCCACCCTCGTCAATCAGTGGGTGGGATGCCCAAATATCTTGAAGTAGGGTTGGGCTTTGCCTTGATCTTGGAAACTGGCTCAGTAGCATTCTTTCATGTCAATGATGACATCTCTTTTGTCATAGGCCATGAAGTTTCATAGACTGCTGTGACTGTGCTCTACGCAAACCTTCTGGATGTCTTCTAGAAGAGAGGCTGGCGTAGACATCCAGCTGTTGCATTCTCTGACAACTATACTGACTACATGGTTAACCCCAAAGGCCCTTTTGGCCAAAGGTTCATCCCCCAGGGCTTCACAGGCCTCTTAGAGTCTCATGTGGGCCTCCTGGTCAATGCTCAGCTGTTTGCCCTGGACCCCAAGGAGCCAGATTGCTCTTTTTGTGTGGCTTCTCTGATGGCTTCCCAAACATCGCCTTCATAGCAGCAGACCTGCTGGGAGTGGGGAAGTGGAGGTTTTGGGGCCAGGTGTGGCCATTGTGGATGATGAGCTTGACATGTGTATGTTCACACTGGCATTTGCCCCTGTTATAGACATCCTCACCAGTGGTATCTTTCAGGATGATTGTCTGCTTAACTATCGTCTCATGCTTAGCCACATTGGTGACCATGGCACCTGTATTGTAGACCTGCTGTTCCCACTCCTGTATTTTCTGACATCTGGTAGGAGTGAGGTGTGAGGAGTGGTGAGATGCTGTCTGAGCCCAGGACCGATGACATCAGCGGGAGGTGCAGTCCTGGCACAGTGATGTCTGTTGGGTCAGGAAGAGTTGGAAGTTATTAAATGTCTGAACAGCAGCATTCTGGACATTTTAAAAAGATTCAGATAATTTGGAATGTGTATAGAAAAGGGCAAGAAGGATGATCAGAGGGCTTGAAGGGAGAATTAAAATTTAGCCTTAGGAACATTTAGTCTTGAGAAGGGAAGATGGTGCTTATTTGATAGCCCTTCTCCAAGGTATCATAAGCCAAGACTTGTGTCTTCTTCCAGCATGCAGGACAAGGAATATTAGATGTAAATTACAGGAAGGTAGATTCTGATTGAATATTAGAAGAATATTAGAAGAAACTCCCCAATGGCAAGTGCAGGAAACAGTGAAGCTGGAATTCATTAGGCTGTTGAACCCAATTTCTTACTGTTGAAACAAATTCTAGGATTTTTTATCTCACAATGTGTGAACTAGGTATTCAGTACAGAGATGTCATTCCTTTGTTTTTACTCACTCTCTCTAAAGCAGTTCTCACCTCTGTTTACCACATCCCTCTTTTTTCCTCCACAAATAAGACTTTACTCAAAAAAATTAGATAAAGGAAATTATGATCCACAGTTCTTTGTACATAGGTTGTACATGAGTTAGGTTGCACTTATTTACATTTAAGTAGACTGCTTGTTTTAATTCCCTGTTGACCAGTTGTAAGTGTTCTTTTACATTTCTTCTGTCTCACTCACCTAAATAATTTGGTGCCATTAGTAAGCTTGACAATTATGTTGCTCAGTTCTAAATCCAAAGCTTTCTAGGAAGTAGAATCCCTGGTGCGGTGCTTGTGTGTCTCCATGACTTACATCCTTCCACTTATTCCTGTTGTGAGGAAAATGAGGAAAATATATCTTTGGGTGAATCTTTGGGTAAAAGAAGCAAGTTTTTGGAGGCCTCAGATGAATG